AGTGAATATTCTACTCTTAAAATAACAGACCTTCATCCGAAATGCATCACGTTGCAATTGAATCAGTTCATTCTCGCGCTTCTTTGGAAGAGGAGTACGTGTGGAACTAGCAATCTCAGCCCTTTCATGGAACCATCGTTGCATCCTACCACGAAGGAATTCAACCAATTTTGCTACAGAATAATCCCGTGCATTTTTATTGACATTGTTCATTGACTCAGCCAAATTTGAAGTCATGGAGGAGTAACGTGATGTTGGACTCTTACATCTAGACCACTTTGCAACTCCAATCTTATCAAGGTATACCCGTATACATGGATCATCCTCATCCAACATTGAAAGATACTCCTCACACTCTTCAACAGTAGCAGCCCGAGAAGCAGCTCTGAACTTCCACTCAATTGATTCTGATTTGCCCTTAAATTTCCCTTTGAGATTGCGCAATATATGTTCAGTACAATAGCAATGAGGAATGGAAGGAAACACCTTATCTACTGCAAACAAGATACCATCATGACGGTCTGAAATGATGCACATGTCACTGCGTTCAATTAGTGAATGTTTCACATTGCTTAAGAACCACAATCAAGACTCATTGTTCTCAGCGTCACATATGCCAAATGCTAAAGGGACAATCTGTCGATTAGCATCTTGTGTGCATGCAGTCAGCAGTGTTCCACGAAAGTAAGCCTTCATGAAAGTCCCATCTATAATAAGGATTGGAAAGCAATGAATCCATGCTTGCCTCCACGCACAAAGTGAGAAGAACATATTCTTAAATTTGCCATCTTCGCATGTTGTGAGAGATATAATAGACCCCGGGTTATTTTTCTCAAGCATATAGCACATTGCAGGCAACAAGCGGTACAATTGATCATCTGAACCATAGAGTTTGCTCATTGCTTTTCTTTTAACTACCAAAGCCTTCTTATAAGACATAGTAATCCCATATTCCCTCCTCATGTCATCCATAAGGTCAATAGGTTGGTATGCCTTTTTCGAAGCATCTGCATAACGATGTGCAACCAAGCCTGCTAGAAGGGTAGATGTTGCATGTCTATGATTGCCTTCACGAAAGTCAACAGGACAGGAATGTTCTGAGTCAAACCTAAGACACAAAAGGGCCCAAATGTCAGATATATATGTGTGTGCGCGTGTGTATATACCTAATCAAGTGAGAGGGTCAAATAAGACTTCAAAATGCAAATATACCTTCTAATTTGGAATAAACTTGGACCACATACACGTACAGCACGAAGGGCCCATTTACAATTAGCATCAACACACACGACATGATAGGATGTCTTCGTTGAAGTTACAGTTCTGAACTGGAAGTTATTAACAATGGAAAACATTTGCAAATGATGCTGAAGGTCCACCTTTGACTTGTATATGCAATCCATGCGAATAGTTGTTGGATGGTAATGAGAAATAACAACATTAGGTGTGGATTCCACTGACACAGAATTTGTGCTTTCAGCAATACAGACATCTTTACTTGATAAGGACAGAGGCTGTGTGAATTGGGTAAGAAGAAGACTCTGGGAAGTACCAACAGAAGGAACAGGAAAAGTGGAAGAAGATGCATCAATAATAGTGCCAAACTCATTAAACTGTGACATTATGACACCCTGTGAACTTGTATTGTTTGTGTCAAATTCGATGCACAATGAAAGCTTCGTAAAATCACACTCAATACACTTCAATTGCATATAAAATTGGAAGCTACTCTCATCATCTATATTCACAGGAGGAAGAATGGACCCAACAGCGTATGAAATACGAAAACGTTCCTTGCAAATTACGCGTTTCAGATGCAACATTAAATCTTGGAATGAGCTGTTATTTGGAATTGGGACTCCAATTTTGTACTTAGAAATAAAAATATTATTAGGAGACCAGTTTCCATCAACGTGAACCATTATCCACATCTGGTCTGCCATCAAAGTAAAGGATACAACTGTAGATGAATAAAAAACATAAGAAAATCTCAGTATATGTTTGGCAGTGAAGACTCCAAATACACTGAATTAACAAAACAGCAGAACACATTCAAAGATGTATGAGAATTATGATTGTAAAATATAAAATGTAATGCAGAAACTAGAATCATAAATCGTAGAGAGTTATGAGAATTCATAAAATTGAAGGTTATGAGAAGAAACTGACCTACTGCAATGGCTATGGGAATGAGAACTCCAAATTACGAATAGTAAAATCGAAGATGATGGGAGATTGAAAAGCGAATTGAAATTGACACAATAAAGTCGTAGATGATGGGGAATTGAAAAGCGAAATAGAAGAATCAAGAGTGTGTCGCAAGCAACGAAGCAGCGAAGAAGAGTTGCCGCTGGGCCGTTGGTACGAAAGAGACAAAGGAAAAAGGCAGAGAGGAAGGAGAAGAATTGCTGAACCAAAGAAAAGAAGAAACGGAGGATTTCAAACTACCGTTTAAGAGGACGATAATTACTCTTATTTTGGGTATATAATTAATGGACTCTTACATTAGGGTTAAGCTTAATGTTTTACTCCTATTTAGGGGGTTTTCTTTTCAATCTCTTCTCATTTCAATTACTCCCTCCGTCCCACTCTCTTTGTCCACTTACCTTTTGGCACACCATCCAATGCACTTCTTTAATCCATTTTATCTTGTAATTTGTATATTAAAAAATTATAGAAATTATATATTAATAATCTATATGTTAAGACAAATCAAACAAGATCACACATGATTATATTTAGGCTTACACATTGAGAGAATTTGATGAGTCAAAGTACTTAGATGAACAGTTCCAAAAGTCAAAAGTGGACAAAGAGAGTGGGACAGAGGTAGTATAAAAGAAGTTGAGGCCACACAAAATAGGGGCGGATACAGAGACAAAAACAGAGAGCAGAGCAGAGGCCGGCCTAGGGTTCCGACCCTAGGTCGGCCCTAGGTCGGCATCTGGTCCCGGCTTCTGTGCATTGTGCGAAGAAGACACTTCCAAGGAACATTTCTTTTACTTTTAAATTTTATTTTCTCTGAATTAGGATTTTGAATTTGTTTCATTTCAAAATTGATGACTTTGATCTCCATATTAAATACGGAGTATATTTTATTTTCAAATCTTATTTGTGTGTTGAATGTTTAAGTTATATTACAAGTGTTGCATTGTTTGAGTGTTGATGTAGAATTGTTCAAGATTTGATTTATTGATTTCTTATTGTCTCTGAAATTATAAAATCTTCTTAGGCCAAATTGTTTAGTAAAAAAAATTGTATCTTTGTTTATTGGGTTAATTTGACTTTGAAGAGATTTTAGCTCTATGCTACTGTTCAACCTAAACTCGAAAAGGTGTTCTGAGAACAATTATTCACCAGATTTTACTTAAATTGGACCAAATTAGGATCGCGACCTAATCTAGTTTAAATTGATATTCTTTTGAAGTCCAAAGTGCTTTAAATATCCGAACTTTTCTAGAAACTAAGTGTTACTTGATTAGTCTTGACTGCCTCGCTAAGTGGTTTTTGCTAATCAAGGTTCTCGAACTAATTTTGTTAAATAACCATAGTGTTACTGCAAGATTGTTATGGTGATGTTTTCCAAAGATTTTATTACACTATTCTTAGTAGTAACTTAAGGGTTGGTCTTTGGGTTGCTAAGGGTAGTAGGGTGTAGAGTTAGGGTTGGTCTTAACATGAGCTAATATGAATGGGAAAATAGGGAAGAGCCGTTGGTGGACCTCTTTTTCAGCCTAACCTTGAGTTTAATTAGCAGTTTAATTTCAAAATTAAGGCATAATTAATTAGTT